AGGTCTGACTCTGGAGCTACCTTGCTTTTACCCCAGGAAACAGTGGAAGTGATTATACAGCAAGTTCTTACATTGAACAAGCTTAATTTGCTTTTATTCCATCTCCCATTCCCAGCAACTTTCAGCTTTTGTTCTTCCCAATAAAAGGGGCACACATTAAACCAAATGGTGATTTTTGAAGTTCTTGATATCTTTTCATGTTTTGCATTCCAAGTTAATCACTCTCTCTTTTACCTATGGTATAGTGGACTTTAAAGAAGCAGCCTCACAAATTGTTTTGTATTCCTTCTGATCCCAGTTCCTTTATTCCTTTGAACACAGGAGAATTCAACAATTTTTTTTGAGTGCATCACAAAAACTCAGAAACCATGGTGCAAATAAAGAAATTGATCTTCTCTTTTATTTAATTCAAGCCTTTACTTGTGTACTTTGATATTTTAGGGCTGGACATGAGCTATTCGCATGCTCAGGGCCCACGGTAATGTGCTACAACCACCAAATTTGCTTTGGCCTCTCCGCGCCGCCACGTATCCAGCCCTGCAGCTGCTTGTAAAACCTGTCCTTCAGTTGCCATAATCTTATCATGAAAGGTGGATTTAAGCGCTAAGAACCAAGGAACAAACCTCTGTTGCTTGCAGCTGGAGGCTGGGAGGTGAGGCTGCAGTTTTGGTGCCAGCTCAGCTCTCCCGGGGCAGCGGCTGCTAATCCCAGGGGATGGGCAGCGAGATGCCAGGAGCTTGTGGAGCTGCAGCCCTTCCCTTTGCTCTCCTGCTTCTCAAATGCCTTCCGTGCTGCTGCTTTTGTTTCTCCCTCCTTGCAGAGGTAACATGGGGAAGAAAGCTGAATTTGACCACCTCCGTGAGGATGTCAAGCATTTATACTTTATTGGTTTAGAAGCTTACTAAATTTAAACAGAAGCATTAACATGGCCTTAGGCTCTCTTGACAGTTATAAACTCTTCCTTGGGGGGATTTCTGTAATGCTTTCTAATCAGCTTAAGGAGTTAATTAAACAGCTGTCACTTAGCTTCTTAATTCTGAAACTCGATGCTAAATAAGATTTGAAATTAGTTATGCCTGACGTGAGAGGGATTCCTGCGATACCCAGGGGACGGCTGTGGACTACGAGGAGGGAGAGCTGCACSAAGCTCCGAGGTGGGACCAGGCACTTGTGCTCCGGAGGCTGGTGGATGGAAAACCAATGAGGAAAATAAAGGATATTAGTAGGTGTCCCATGGGGCAGGTTGTCAGGTAGCTTTTTTTCCCTATTTGGTGGCCTGCTTTTCATTAAAGATCTCAGCAATGGGATTATTTGCAGTGCTGTTGTAGCCTGGAGATGTTAAACCCAAAGGTCAAGGTAGCTATTGAAAACAAAAAATGAATATGCTTGCTTTAGAAACTGGGTATTTGGGCTGAAAAAAATATACTGAGCATTTATATAGTAATATATTAATATATTTAAAATATATTTTCAAATCATTATTAAGACAAACACTAGGAAACATTGAGGTACAGAGAGAAAACTAAGGGAACAAAAAATGTTCTTCAGATTTATGAAAATATTGTTAAAGTCCTTTGTTTCACCCCAGGACTTATAAGGCAAAAGCAATTCAAAGGGAAATTAAATTGCAGGGATGCTACCAATTAAAATTGGAAAACTAATAGGTGTTCACTTTGGAATATCTGCTTAAGTAGATGCTTACTGCGTACATCTTCTGAATATGTTTCTGCTGGAGGGCTTAGTATGTTCAGTTATTTAATATGAATCTCTGCATTAGGCAAAGGATACTCACTCCAGAATGTTCTTCAATAGTATTTCCGTTTTTTAGGTGTGGTGTCAATTTCAGAATAAAGATTACCTGGTCTTCCATTACGATTACATAGAGAGAAATGTTTTCTGATTGCTATTAATATTTTATTTGATTATTATTGATGTATATGAGTTATACAGTTTTCCAACCTAATGGTTAGAGAAACATCAGCATCTTCTTTTATGGCTGCTCTAGGGATCAATTTTTATTAGTCAAAATACTTGGCTACAGCTTTACAAAATCTGTTAGGATTCCCATGCTGCAAGACCCTTACATCATGTCTGTTATAATCTATGCTAGTTATGGGCGAAGAATATATTACTTCTTCAGAAGACTCCTGTGTCACTTAAGCAGCAGAGTAACCCTTTTAGCTTAGTAACTATTTAGATTTGTAGCTTTTATGTGCTGAGATTCTGAAATAGAAATCTCCATGTAACTATTTATAACTAGATAAGCATCATGTTTGTTTCCTCAAACAAATTTGATATGCTTTCACCATGAGAACATTAAACCCTCTCTAGTTATTACTAAAGAAACTCTGTCCCTGCTGCTTAAATTGGTGTAAATGCCTCTACCTTCCAAGGAGAGGTGCACACCAGGTTCCTAAAGAAATCACCCTCCAAGGGCATACTGGAACCTCTGCAAGAAGAGCGTATGGGCCAGTTATCCCAACATTGCTTTCCTGAGGCTGGACAAGTGCTTTGGCAGTTACCATAGCAGGTCAGAKCACCTGAGAAAACATTTATGATTCTGTGATTTGCATGATTTTTTTTGAATAGTTTTTTTTTATTTGATTTCTTATGAAGAGGGGGGGACAAACATTGTCTGGGACATTTTTGTAACTGTCTAAGGATCTGCAATGTTGTCACATGCCGTGGGTTGTGTTGGCTGGACTATGCTCTGTTCTGGAAACACACTGGTTTGAACATAGGTTTTAGAACAAAGACACAGACAAAAGCTATAAAGCCTTCAGATATTGGCCTTTTAGTCTGGATAAAGACAAARTATGATTTTGCTTCCTATCGCAGAACTTGATATGAATCTGTTTATCTCTTTTTCTCTGAGTATTCCTTTTATATTCATTTAAATTATTTGCTCAGTTGGGTTAAGTACAGATCSGTGGCACTGCAGCTGCGGGCTCTGGGGCAGGACCTACGCTGCCCAGCTCTGCAGCTACCTGAGAGTAGGATGTGCAGACGTTTGCTGTTTGTTAGCCACCCTATGCACCTGCTTTTGCAAGGTGACAATGAACAGCTGGTGTACTAATTAGACTGGTTTTGCACYCATTTCCAGAAAATGGCCTATATCGGGTACATTAGGATGCAGTCTGTATTCRGAATATCCCAAGCCATGGCTTGGAAATTTCAGGAACTCAGAAAGAATTGTGAAGCTTTTGAAAATCATTCTCAGTTGCTAGCATTTACCAGGGGAAATTACACTTACCTTTGGTAAGCGGACCTCATTAATCACACTGTTTCAAAGGTTTTGTTATTAAACCTGTTTTGCTTTATAGAGCAATTGCAAGGGTCATACCATAACATACCAGGTGGAGGAAGCAGCCAWTCCTGCTTAGGGGAGCAGGTCTTTCCAGCCTGGCTCTAGGAGCAAGCAGCCAGGTGGGTGTCCTGGCCTCGAATCGTCCCAATGAAATGAGATACTTGCCCAAGTGTTTGCAAGATCAGGACCTAACGCCGGGATTCTCTAATTATCATGGATGCTGAATAGTGCTCGTTCTATCATGCTGCCCTCATTGGCAGCTCACTGAAGCCTGTAGGAGGGTGACAAAAGTAGCTGACTGACCTGCATGCAGTAAGTCTATCGCAAAGCCCAGTAAGGAAACAAATGAAAGAATCTGGAAATTTAATTGCAAATCTTTCTGAGAACCCCCTTGTCAGAATAATATATTTCCTCCAGAGAACAATCGTGTTCTCAAGACAGATGGGCCTCACAGTATAGGCAGATATTCTCACCTTTGCATGAATTATAATTTCAGAACACATGAAGAGCTTTTGTGCTGAGAGAGGGAGGGGATTGTGTTGAGAGAGGGAGGAGATTTTCTTCTTAAGTTCTCTTTTTGTGAAATCCTATTTCACCTTTCCCTAAAGATCATGGTGACGACGAGAGAACTTTAGCAAAGCATCTGTCAAAAGACTAGAGGAGTTTCTTTCTTCCCTTTTTTTTCAGTATTGCTTTGAGGCCAAATAAAGTGTCTCTGCTCCTTTAAGTTATTGGAAGAGGTCTTTTTGATCCGTATTCTTTAGATGAGAGAAATCTCAGTGTCTCCCCTTCAGCCCAAGAGGCGGCAGGGGGAGTCATCATCTTCTGGTGACTTGGTTTCAATCTCTTACTTTATTGTCTTCCACCAGTGAAATCAGGTCAGTCTCAGAGCTCATAGCATGTGCTGTTTAGATAATGAGAAGTTAGCACTTGGGGGGGCTTGGGAAGCTTTTATTTCACAAGAACCAGCTGAAATCAAGAGCCTCTTGTTCTATGGGAGAGCCTGTGATTTGCAGGCACGCTCCCCTTCCAGGAGCAAGCGGTGTCTTGTAATTAGGAATGGAAGAGAGCATGCACCAAATTGCACTCTGTCTGCGTCTTGGCATAAATAGCAATGTGCAAGGCCTGGGTAGCCGAGGGCACTGGCTAAACCTGTTTTCTTTCTATAATTGCATCTCCCACTTCTCTGTGGAAGGGATAGCTCAAACAGCTGGAATAGGTTTTGTAATAACCATCACGATGGCAATGTAGCAGTAATATGTGTCACTGCACAGCTCGTTTTGCTTAAAGAGACCGGGCTTTTACAGAACTGTCCTTCCTGAGGGATGGTGGTTCTGCAGGAGCCTCGTTCATGTGTAATGAAATAGTCCCAGGCGAGTGGCTTGCCCACCCTGAAAAACAAAAGCCAACATAAGTCCTAGAAAAGCTGAGTCCCAAGGATCTGATTCCCTATAGTGCTGTGGGTTGTGTAATCACTATGGTGGGACCAGGGTGGTGGCACTAAATAAGTTCCTCAGGAGGCAGAGCATTGGAAACCAAGACTTATTGGGGAGGAGACACAATGTTCCTAGCCCACATTGCAGGTGAGGAATGAGGAGACTTACTGAATACACCAATATTTCATCCTGAACATTTCATGTTAACGAAGCAAGTGCAAAATATATTAACCAGAGGGGCTTTTTTGGTCTCTTAGGAAGCAGAGATCCTGAACACAGCTATTCTCACTGGAAAAACGGTGGCAGTTCCAGTCAAAGTGGTCTCCGTGGAAGATGATGGGACTGTGACTGATCTTTTGGAGTCTGTGGAGTGCAGATCATCAGATGAAGATGTCATTAAGGTAGGATCATTGCTTTGCTGTYGAGAGGCAGTGGCCTTCTTTACCATGACATGTTCTTTCACCTTGGATGATTAGTTTTGCCCCTTCCTAACTCTTCAGCTGCTGAAATATACAGGTTTMATATCAATTGTTTTGTGTAGATTGCTTCAGAATATCCTATCTTTTCCATCTTTCATGTAATACTGTGGTAACTGTCTGTCAATTCCTGCCGTTGAAATACTTTGAGTTCACCCTTGCCTTTTTGCTTTCCAGCTGGAAAGGGTGTGGGAGGTCAGGAGGATTATCAACTCATGTTCTTGAGAGGGAAATAATCCACTGACTCTTGCTTTGATGCTTTGGAGCAGGAATTGTGTGCCTCAACGTTCAGGTCCGTTCCTGCTGCTGACCTGGTAGGGTATCGTGAACAATATTAGCTTTAAGTTGGAGTTTTCCTGGCCACAGCTCCTACTAGAGGGCCTCACAGGAAACATTTTAATGTTTAAAAACATGTTAATGGTAGACATAGTCAGCAGTGGTGGTCATGGGAGATACGGTAGAAAGTATTACAACGCGATAAGAAAAATGTTGGTTGTCTACAGGAGCTTTTACGCTCTCACAAACTTATCGGTGGCTGTCACTTTAGAAGAGGAAATGAAAGACATGACTACAAATAAAAGTTAAAATTGATTTCTTTTAACATAACCAGAATGTCACAAAATGATTATAAGCGCTGCAGGCTACCCCTTCAGTTGCTGGGAATCACAGTTATCCCATTAACTTTCGTGAACCGCACCATATTGAGGACTTGGCCTTTGCAAAATTTTTGTTAGCCTAAAGCTGACTGGAATGCTAAGCTTTCTTCCTGCTATGTTAGTTCAATTTAATTTGGATTCAAACAGCTGAGGGTAGTGTTTAGCTCCAAAGAAACCCTCCCTGGGCCGCATTAGCTGAAATCAGGACTTCCTAGTGGACATTTTATCTCCTTTAGAGGCTCTGGGATGAATTTGGTTCTTGTGCCAGGGCTGCAAGCTAGCACCCAGACTGGTTGCTTAGTAATCTATGACAGATTCTTGGAAAACAAATGCAGGTACTTGGTTTCTACCATCAGATGGTGAAAAGATGCTGGGAGTTGGACGCTTACTTACAAGTTAAGTAACTTTATGTCCCAGAGAGAGCAACAGCTCGGAGCAGGTTATTGAYGCATAGATGATGTTTCTTGAGCCATTTCTAAGCAGATTTTTTTTTTCCATCAAAAATTGCAATGTTTACATCTATTAGATCTGTTTTCTGTGTTTTTTTCATGAAAATTCCTCATACTCAAGATGAGGTCAAGGAATTTAAAAGTCCAGTGTTGTTCATGGTTCCTTTTTAAAATCTGCTCAGGGTTTCTCTTTCTCTGAACAGTTAATCAGAGAATTTTCTGATTAACTGTGGCTTCCTATCTGTCTTAATCCAGCCATTCTTTTGCTTCTGTTAAGCCCTTTTGGACCTAGTGTATTTGCCAAATATAGCAAACTGATGGAGTGAATCTCATTTTAAAAGCAGAAAGAAAATATTTGGTTTCATTGCCTTGTGTTGTAGCAGTTAATGGACTAAATCGTCGCACATATTATTTAATTAACTTTTCAGTTTTCTGGAGACCTGCAAGAAATAATTTGAGGGCAAGACACATCATTTGGAAGAAATTTCAAAAGACAATTGCATTTTCCAAAGTTTTGAGTTTATCAAAATGATTTAGCATATTCATTGGATGTATTCATTCATTTGTGAAATGGTTTTGGCAGACATGAATTTGCARCTGCTTTTGGTATGTAATTTCCCCAGCAGAGAAGTAATAGGTCTACCCCTGCTTAAATATGTACCTATCATTAGTTTTAAGTACATGAATATACCTATAAAGTTCTGCATGCTTAGCTTTATTCACATATATACTTTTACAYAATAATGCTAATGATAGGACCTATGTCAGAACAATAAATCACTAATCGGAGATCAAGATGTTCTTGATCCAAGCCAAGTTTCACCAGCATTAATGTGAGCCACCAATTTAAAGTAAGCCTTTAAATTGAAAATGCCTCTCTGATTTCTCAGTTTACCTGCTCTRTTTCAGACTTAGCATTATTCTCAAAAATTTTACCTAGTGAAAGTAAAGGCATACAATTAGCAGCCAGCCTTCAGCTGGCAGCAGTAATTAGAGTTTTTGTTCTCTGGACACTAGAATAAAGAATATAAAATGAAAGAAAACATCTGCTTAAAMTGTCTGTTGAAATACAGAGATTAAGATTACATTTTCTCTTGCCATCCTCTTTCTGTTGTTGTTTTTTAATGCATCTGTCACATAGTATCTAACAGATTGATTACWTCTTCCTGGCTAATCTCTTATCTCTATTTTTTTGTGTTGATTAGCGAGGAGTTTAAGCTCATTTTCCTTGCAGAAAGAGGATGCCTTATTCTATCCATAGTTTCAGGGCCGCATTTATTACTCACTTCTTTCATCTGGGACTTCAAAGAACTTTAAAGAGCTGGACCAAATTCTGCATTGACTCATATCCTGCCAAGTTGCATTTACTTTAACATGGYTGAATAAGTCATGACAGAATTCAGTCCATTAAAACAATATCGTTAATGACAAATGATTGTCTGAAATGATTTGGCCCAGAATAGCACAGTAACCATGCCAAAATGTGGAGGGGTGGGGTAAACTCTATTTCACAAATGAGCAATCTGAGACACAGGGAAGTTAAGGTGAGAAATTTCCGAGGACTCTTAATGAAGTTCTGACCTTTGAAGAGGATGGTAAATCACGGACTGAGCTCAGGGGAAAGAAGGATTGGTCATGGGCCCTTCTGAAAATACTGTTCATCTGTAGACAGAGCAGGTTGGTTTTGGTGAATCCTTAATGCGGGTCAAATTTACAAAATTATTTAAAGCAAGAACTAGGACAGAAGAGAGGAAAAATCATCATGTTTTAATCTTTTGTTTTAAAAGACATTTCCATTTCAAAATGACGTTCTCAAGGCTTAGCAAAACCTAAAAATATTCCACACCAGTGCTCTCTATTTGGGTTTTTTTTTTTTTTTTTGTTTGATGAGATAATTGAAAATCTCCATTTCCAGTTGCCCCCAAATGAGAACATTTTTAGACTGATTTTGTTCTACCAATTACCCCCAAATTCCAATAGATTCTCAGCTCTGCTCAGAAGCCCCTTGCCAGCAGTCACACAGTGAATGGTGCCAGCGCTGGGAGCAGGATGCAGTTTCTCGGGCCCTTGGTTATACTACACAGTGTATTTTGCAGAGGACTACATTCAAAATCTGAATGTTATCCAAAATTGCATGCTTTTCTAACATGATTCCTGTAGCTTATTTACTTCTAGAGCAGCTTGTATTTTTCCTTGGATATCAGATAAAGATGTAAAAGAGAGGACACTGTCACCGTGCACAGGGTATTGATCCAGAGGGAGCGGGCTGGGTGGTGGGCAGGATTGTTGGAGGGCATAACAGTGCACTTTGTAAAATCTTGCGTGAATAAATATTTCAGTAAAACTCAGTTTTATTTGTGGCAAAATAACGTCTGTCTAGCCAAGTGATAGACTTTACAAAAACTAGAGTATCAGAGCATCTAAAATAGCCCGAAGCGGACAATGTTTTAAAGCATTAAACTTTGAGCAGCTGTTTCTCCTCCTTACCTTGGAGCACTTCAGGGGAAAGTTAAACTCTTTTAAAGCCAGTGCAGTCACGGGATATAAAATCAAAGGGAAAAGATGATTGGGTCCAAGATTTTATCAGTTCCTTAGCTCAGCACGGGTCCTGCCAGTGCTACCACTTCTCCTCGCCATGCTGCTGGTGTCAGTCCCTCTCTCTTTGCAGCCAGCGCCAGGATATATGCCCTCGTATGAGATTTCAGGTCCAGCTTGCATTGACCCAAAAGGTGAAGGAATATTAAAGACACACAAAAATTAAAAAACTAAAAGGAATCCTAGATTTCCATCAATTTCTTGCATTTAAGCCAGGCTAAGTGTGACTTGAGACATACCATGGCTCAGCAGCTCACCCAGAGAGATCAGACACTCAAGGCAAGGCTGTCGTGTGAGTTTTGATCACCTATGGCTCAGGACACCCAGCTAGAAGGGGGAAAGTGGATGTGATCAGCATAGTTTGTTCAAAACAAAAACTTCCACATTGGCAAAGGGATTTTGGCTAAATTGCACATTTGCAGGCGATGTGGTTCTGCAGGGCAGCATTTTTATAATGGGAAAATAAATCTCCAGCCTGGGAGTTGGATGGAGATCAAGTTTAATTTGCTATGGTTTTGCGCAGTGTGATGTGGATTCTCTCGCCAATTGAACTGCCTTATTCTATCACGAATAACTTTGATCCCTCTTGAAACAAACATTTCATTTAAGTCAACAAATGGATGTTTATATTTTCTGCAATGTCTAAACATTTCATTTTGATAGAAAGTGTTGAAATCATATCCTGTCATTTCAGTTCAGTCTCAGTATTCCTGACATCAATATCAGCATCTGAACTTTCCACCCTAGGATGAAGCAACTCTAGGGAAGAAAATCCTTTTTTTCTGATCTCCTTAGTTGTCAGAAGAGATGGGACAAACTCAGAAAAAATGTAATATCAGAAGTAAAAGTTTTAAGCTTAACTGTTGAGTTCAGTTCATGAGCCACTAAAGGTGGCTTTAGAAGCAGGAAAAATTTTTATATGTTCCTGATAAGAAAAGCAGGACTGGTGAAGCTGAGTTCTGACTGCAAAAGTGATGCAAAAGATCCCTGCGTACCAGGAGTTGTCTGAAGCTCATAAGAGTTATCAGTTTTGATTCCTTCTCCTAAAATGTTCCCTTTTCCTTTTAAAACACACTGTTCTTCATTTCCAGTATCTATCTGCCACTTTCTTTCAGAAGATGTGGTATTATAGCACTTCATATGTGCTGTAAGCCATCCTTGAGATRAGGACACAAACTCTCTGTTGCTTTATTACCACACAGTCAAAAGTTACAGTATACCATAT